TCGCACACATAGACGATGTGCACTGCCTGTGGAACGTCATCACCTCCTCGCCCGCCTCATACCGCGTTTTCAATCAATACAGCACCGAGATATTCTGGCAATCCATCTCAGAGAGCATAATCACGCCGCAGACACAGGATATCATTCGTTTTGTGATACAACTCCGCGCCGGCGCCCACAAGGAGACGGGCTTGGACGAAATTATGCGGAAGATCAAAGACCGCGAGGCTGGTATTGTGCTCGGGAAGAGCGAGGAAACGGGCTACCAGTTTGCAAACCGCGACGCCTCAAAAGCCCCATCTCTCAGCGTCTTACGCACCGTTCTCTCGACAGCATCTCAGGTTCACTGCTTGACCAGGTCGTGCATTGATCATCACCTACAACAGCTGATTGATGCGAAGGCAAGGGGACGGCTGGAGTGGGCTCCTGAAGACGAAAGGGCGCGGAAGCCATCATGGGTAGAAGAGCAACGTGTTCTTCGCGCATTTTGGCGATTGCAGCTCATATACGAACTGAAGTTGGCGGTAACTACGTCCCGAGTCCGAGACACTCCTGGGGTGAGCGACCACGTGAACGACTTTGACATGCAGAGTTTCTACGACAGCAGCAACAGCAATCTCAAGGTCGCTTACCACGAAGTCATGACAGCGATTGAGTACGTTCGGCATCTTAAGGCTCGCAGAAGAAACAGTTCGGATTCAGAGACACATCGACTGCCCCAGCTGACTTGGCCTGCGAAGGACATCGAACCTTCGGCGAGACGGGTACCAACAAGTAGTGCCATGAGAAGGTCTTCGCTGGTGCTACCAGCCGACGGCCTCTGGATTGTTGACAGCATGAGCCGAGGCGCCCACTCGCCGATCAAGTACGCGGGCTTTGAGCCGTATAGGGCTTTGGGGTTTGCCATTTGGGACCGGCATCGGCTCGCCGAGCTTGGGTTGGCCAGCCCTCCTGGTCATGGTCGCGTCACGGGTCTTGGATCTTACTTTTCTTACTGGCTGAGGCTTCTGAATGCACGCGACTTGGCTCAAGCTGAAGAGGTGATGCGGGAGGTTGAAAACCAGGGAGGGCGACTGGGTCCGCTGCAGCCTATGATCCAGGACAATGCGTCTTGAGATGTGACTTTTAGAGTTATTGTCATGGTTTATCGACCTATAAGATGGTCACAAGTAGCTATACGTGGGTTTTATTCCAGGCTTGACACTATGTTACACATGATGTTTAGATGCGTGCTGTTCATTGGGCGGGCCAACCGCACTTTCATGTTTCTCAATGATTCGTCCTAAGAACTTCCTGTGTCTCTTATCTATGGATCTCTTCGTGATAATGATGATCGCTTCTAGTGTTGTTTCGCTCCAAGAATTGCGCCCGGCGATAGGAAAAAAACCGGAGCACTTCTTCACTTCCCACTCACCCAGTCAATCTTGATTTTTTGGTGATTGCATCGTTGCTTTGCGAGTCCGTAACTCTGCGACGTGCCTTATTCTTTGTCCTTGGATCCTTCGTCGCACGACATCCTTCTGATCTGGGCTTAGCGCATCAAAGTGCTGCTATCATAGAGGTTGCTGAATGCCAGACTGAATCTCGTGACTCGCTGCCTTATCCACCTTGCCTCCTAGTGTATCTTGGTCTTTGCTGTACTCAGGCACCTCAACTTGGCTGTCTGATGTTCCGAGAAATCCCAGCGGAGGTTCTCGGACTTGCTTTTCTGCCGCAGTTTTGGTCATCTCTGTTGTCTCGCATGCCTTGTTTGTGGGCATCCGGCTGATCTCCCGCGCGTCTTGGAGAAGACCAAGTCCTAGCTCTGGCTCAAAGCGAAGACGACCAGTGCCGCACTGCTGCAAGTACCGAAGGACGCGGCGGTATGCCCTGAAAATGGGGTTGTTCTCCCATGAACGGATCTCGTCGGCCTCCAGGCCCATCTGAAGCTGTGCTTTGTACCAGATGTCTGCCTCGGGACAGTCTTCCCGACGTTTGTTAAGTCTCTTGGGGTTCGCGATGATAAATGTGATAACAGCAATCTCATCGATGGGCAGTTGTCCCCGGAGGATCTTCAAGGCTTTTTGGGTGACAGTCTTGAACTCGGGGGAGGAAGCAAGACGGTTGAGGTACACGTCCATTGTGACACCCGGGACGGTTAAGATGCTGCATACCCGTAGTTTGGTGTGGCGAGGGAGCACCCCGTTCTCGGCGTCGGGCTTGAAGATGAACTCTGCAAGCTGCGTGGCCGTGTTGAAGTGGGGCATAGAACCCACTGGTTGCGCCTGCGATGTATTAGACACTGCCGGAGTGACAAACTCCCTAGGTTCTTCCAGTTTCTTCTTCTTAAGCTTTGGTGTCCCATCTGTAGAGGAGCTGTTCGATGTCTTGTTACGCTCGCCACTTATTTGGCTGTGTGCCCTCTTCTCACCCGTCGTGGCAATCTGCCCGGCTTGGTGCTTGATGGGCTGCTGGGTTCCTCCAAATTTCGATCTAATTTGGGTGCCTGAGCCGGGCACAAAAGTCTTCCGAATAGGAGCAGAACTGCTGTCCTTCACCTTCTTGTCAGGTAGGGATACCTCTGTGGTCTTGCCTCCGACCCTGGCCTTTGCCCAAAAGGGCAAGGGCTTCGCAGCAGATGGTCCGCCTTTTGACTTCGCTCCTACCTTCGACGGGGCGGCTAACGTGTCCTACAAAGAATGATTAGAAGCCGTAGCATGATATATGAGGGAAGGTACGACGACCTTCGGTTTAAAAGCCGGGTGAGTATGGCCCTGTGAATGAGCAATGCCGGGCCTGACGCTGGCTGAGGAGGAAGGTGCCATAGTTGATGTGTGCGAACCTGACCAAGGATTATGGTGAAGCTGTGCTGTATGCGAGACATGTGAAGCTAGGTAGTTGATTGTTTCTGTTGAGGCACGCTTTTTTGCGTGTTCCAGATTGAGAATGGAAGGAAAGGCGGCACAAGGAAAGGTTGATAGGATAGATTTTTATTGATTGTGGTACCTGGCGTCGGAGTGTTGGAAGGTGCGATGTTCTGACAACCCAAGGCAACTGCTGCACTGCCTCTTGTGATGTGATGAGGAGTCAGATAGAGCCCCGATTTTGATGTTCCAAGGATATGAATGTGATTCTGGAATAGAAGGTTTTTCATCGTTCGACTTCCCGTGTTCAAAAGTGCAAGAGTCCACTGGCTACTTACAGAATAAGATAGAAGTACATTTTTGGGTTCTATTCAGGAAATGGAAGGCAGACTATAGGGTTCCATAGCAACTACCAGGGAAGATACGACCAATACGCAAAAGCCACACGGGATAGTGGGCCATGTCCTTGAAATAGACAAGAACATTGTTTTTATTATCAAGAAGATATGGAGTCTGCTATCGAATGATGATACCATAGGTTCCTCTGGGTACTTTCCTTGGAATCCTCGCGGTCTCCAATGCAGTTCACTGGCTGCAATTTCGATCTTATCGCTGGGAGCAACTCAATCATTCCTCTTTCAATTAGATTTATGTGGCACGTTATTTAAACGGGTTTCGTTGGATACAAAGACCAAAATAGCGATGACTCTTCACCTCATCAATGACTCTGTAAAAGTTGATGAAGAATGCGATAATGAGCCAGCTGCCCACTTAGCAAACTCAGCCATCCAAAGCCAGCAGAAGATGATCGGTACCAATGCAATCAACACCCACCAGAGCTCAATCGTCAACCGTCGTCTAAGCCAGCGCTGACATCGTGCGCCAAGTTTCCTGCGGTGAGAGCAAACCGACGTGCCGTACACAAGACAGCCCAGGCCTGGCCTCGACTCGCATTCCATGTGTTCTCGTCGTCGTTGCATCAAGAGTCTGGCCATCGTTAGTCAACGTGTTGAGAGTTTTCGAGTGAGAGGGAATGCATACGGTACGCTACCCCTGCAAAACCGTAGATCGCTGCCAAGATCGCATCGCTTATCGTTGGGGCACTCGAGATGTAACATCCGGCGTTCCATCAGCCATTCCACCTTCAGCCGGACACCAGTGTCCACGAGGTAGTAAAAGTAGCTGCTGGTATGCTTCAGGGAGAGCGCATCGGGGTAGATGAGCTGCTTCGATATGAGAAGATGGATTTCCGGAGGCAAGTCGGTGAATCCGGCATGAGTGCTGTCCGCCGCCTTGCATTCTGAGTGCCGGCCTCGAGCGTCTGCGGGGCCCGGGGTGGGTCGTCGGAGAGATACGGGAGGCTCCATTGTCGGAGATGAAACGGGGCGACGCCGCAGTGTAAATGAGGTGATCTAGGCTGGACCGGTGCGCGGGTAAAAGGCAACACTTCTTTGTCGGGCGTTGTGAAAAAAGAACAAAGGTCATACAACGTTGTTGTAGATTGCGAGGGCCAACCAAATATGTAGCCAGAAATCCTGCTGCCTTCGAATAATGTTTTAGGGACACCTGTAGCGTGGCAGCGCTCCTAGCGCGTCAGATACGAAGTTTCAGTCCGTCCGTCACCGGGGAGGGGCTGCGGTTTTGCGTTGTCAGCGTCAGGCACACTCCTATTGTGGCTGGTTTCAGGAGCCGCTTTGCCGAATTCGGAATTCAACGTGGCGCGGTCATCAGGCAACATTCCGAGCTGGAGGGATGTTCCGCGTTCGCCTAACTATGCGCTGGGGCCTACTTGCGAATTGTAAAAAAGGAGTACCAGACCCATCTTGAAAATTGGATGGAATTTTATGTCTAGATGATGGCTTCTGGTTGCATCCAGTTGGCCTTTTCTTGGCAATGCTAGTTCCTGGTCAAGATTTCATTACACCCCGCCCCTTCAAGCCTGATGAATATCGTTTATGTTATTACATCTGTAGCTACATGAAACTAGTAACTTAGCTAGAAGATATTGACTGGACGAAGAGTGAACTGAACTGTAGCCCAAGTGACCAAGTTCTCACCGAGTGCGCGAGACCAAAAAAACATTAGAAGAATGGAGGACGCTCCGCGGGCGCACATGGTGTTTGCTTGGCGATCATCAATGGCGATGAGCAATGAGTGTCATACCGCACATCCCATAATTGCAGCTGATGCACGAACCCTACCGTAGTCGAACAATTTTCTGGACCCCAGAGAGCCCTTCTCACCACTCTTGTCCTCGAGTTTCTCCTCCAAAACTCCCTGCTCTGGTCCCCTTTTCCACACATTAGCAGGATCGTGCCCTCACACCTTTGAAGGAGCTTCTTGAAGTCATCGAATAGGCGTTCGCCGCTGTCGACGAAGTTTGCCACCAACTCTTTATCATGTTCACGGAGTCGAGTAAAGTAGTAATTGGCATCATTAACCTTATAGTCAAGATTTTCCAGCAGACGTGCGAGGTTTCTGGTCGCGTCCGCGTTGTCGCCGATGGGGGAGCCTTGGTCCAGGTAGTGGTCGATCCTCCCAACTAACCAAATCCCTATCGAAACCAGATCGAAAACGAAGTTGAGAAACAGAATAGGACGTTTTGCTGGGTCCCAATTATCAATATTAAACTCATACGAAATCCGCAATTTATTCGCATCACTTCGCTGGGCGATTTTCCGGACGACTCTGTGCTGGTTAGCAGTCGTGATTGTAGTCCGCTTATGCTGTCCTTCTGCTGCTCCCAACTCTGGTACTGGTTCTGGACCGTCGCCGCGATGCCATTCCGGGCTACTTCTGCGAGTTTCGAGGCGACGACGAACTTTCGGCTCCCCTCCGTTGGGAGCCATCGATTTCGTAAACCACACTTTTTTGGGCTGCTTGTGGTCACGTTCCCAAGGCATTCTGAAATTGTTCACTTCGGGGAACAGATCGTCACATTGTCTTCCGTGGGCAGCTGAGGCCTTCTCCCCGATACTTTCTTGTTCGGTACCCGCGTCTGCCACTGTTGAACCGTATCCTTCCGATGGTGTTGATGAAGTTGCTCGTCGTAGACGGGTTCTGACTCGGTCGTATCCAGGCAACTGTTCTTCTAACCAAGACCGTACATAATCATCAGATTTGCCTGATTGGTCCTCTGAATCAAATTCTCTGCTGCTGGTCGACGAAGGGTCGGGAAGGGACGGTGCCGGTTGATAGTACTGAGTACGAAACCAACTTGTTTCGCTGTCCGCGTCGCCTTCGCTTCCGGGATGATATGAAGCAGAGGATTCACTGCTGCTACAAGGCTTGAGAGATGGATGGCTAGTGCCCTCCTGGTCCACAAAGAAACGGGCAGTGGGAAGCGGAGCCTCTGGAACTAAATGAGTATCAACCTCGGCGGTCTCTCTAACGGATGGTATGCTGGTTTCAGCTGTATCAGGCATCGATGCTTGGCTTTGGCTGGCTCTTGGCACGCCAGCACTTCTCGGAGCAGAAGGTCCAGACGACCCTACCGCTGTTCCGATATTCAAATGTGATTGTCGGCTTATCTTCTCGTTGAAAAACCCCGTGCTCCACTCGGCCGAAGGATCATTGTCAGTGTCACCTTCGAAACCGAGGTGCTCGTTGTTGTTGGTTGTCGGGCGGGTGCTCTGTGGATCATCCGGCTTGTCGTGATGCTGTTCTGACACAGTGATGTTCGAGAGCATTTGAACCCACCGGTGGTCCAAAATGTCCCTTGTTGTTGGTCTCTCACCGGGAGCAACAGCGAGGAGTTGTCGGATTAGGTCAATCAGCGAAGGTGTAGCACCGTGATCCGTGAGGTCCTGCGTCGGCAATTCGATCTCTCCTTCGACATATTTGTTCAGCAGTCTAAAATCGGTCGTGAAGAGCTTCAGTGTCAACATTTTGAAGATTATAGTCCCCAGAGACCATACGTCCGCAGCATACGGATGACTTCGATCATGAACGAATTCAAGCACTTCAGGGGCGATGAAGCCAATAGTTCCTTTGCGCATGGTACCCAAAGTAGCTTCAGGGGGTAGTCGCCTGCTGATTCCGAAGTCGGAGATTTGCACAAGCCAGTCAGGACCTTTGGATACGACAAGAATATTCTAGTTGAAACTATCAGCGTCTGTTACTTAGAATTCGGGTTCATGGTGCGTACTCTGGGCTTCAAATCCCTGTGTGTAAAGCCATTTTGATGCAGATGATGAAGGCCTTCTGCTAATTGCCTAGTAATGAGCCTAGCCTCATCTTCCGGAATAGGTTTCTCCAGGTGTTTCTCAAGGTCGCCGTACTCCACGTATTCCATGGCGATGTATATAGCATCCACACTTTGAAACCAACCGTAAGATTTCACAAAGGAAGGCGTGTACTATAGGGGTCAGTAAAAGCTCTACTGTCAGAAAGCACCATCATCATCCTATTGCCTCTTACTCTGTCCTGAGAGAACTTCATTACTGCCTCTAATTCTCGATAGTAGTCCGTATTTCCTGGGGCCGTAGAGTCGATCGTTATTTCCTTGACGGCCCTAACGACGGGGCCATGTTTTCTTGCGGGCCGGTCGCACGTTTCAAGCCATACAATCCCGTATGCGCCTTGTCCCAATCGTTTCTCCCGTTTCCACGTTTCGTGTACTCTGATCTTCCATTCTCGCCCAGATGTGCCGCGCTGGCAGAACGTATGCTGGGTCAGAGTCGGGGATAATTGTAATGCTTCGAGTCTTGCTTCCTGCACGAGATCTGACGTCTGAGGATCTGACAGTGGAGACATCTCGAATCGTGCGGGGTCGTCCGGGTGTTGTATTCAGAGATCAATCGAACCATACTGCGACTAAACCTTCCGTTGTTTGTAATTAGCGATAGGACATAAATGGGGAGGACGAGACTCGGGCGCTAACATCTGCGGGATGACAGTCTCGATCATATAATGGTTTGAAGAGCTGATGAGGAAATTCTGCAGAACATTCCGCTCCTCCGTTGCATACCATCCGCCAGCCTGATCACGAGACTTGTAAAGCTTAGGGGCCAAGTCAACCAACATGAACGCCTGCATTAGCGAGACACACAGCCCCCGCCACCCCCAGCCAATCTAGATAACTACGTAAGCGCGCGTATCTTTCTCAAAATAATCTTAAGCTCAGTGGTTTTCAATTTCTGAGTTCTTATGATCATCATACTGTCCGACAATCCAGTTTGAATCACGAAGGCGGTCGCCAATGTCCATCGAACTAGTCTTAGCTGCCGTTTCGGCGGCCGATCTATGCCTCCAGTATGTAATCTGACAGCCTTCGAATTGATTTCCCGCTAACTCGTTAAAATGCAGGTATGGTAAAGCTTTGATGCAGGTCTATCGAGACCTGAAAGGTGCCAACGAAGCCGTTCAATCCAGGCTGCTCATCGTGGAGGCGATCTGGAAAAAGACTGCCATTCAGGTAGACTTCGTTAAGAAAATCGCTCAAGTCCTCGAGGAGGATCATTGTCGCATCCATCTGGAAGTTCTAGTGGTACTTAAAAGCAAACTGGGCTTAGCCATCTCGAAAATCGAATCGGTCGTAAAATCCGGGCCAGACTCCTCAGTCAGGAAATGGAAATACGCTCGAATTCGGGAAGCCATCGACCATTCCATCACGGAACTCCAGCAATGGCATAGTGTATTTGACCCAACCTGGTACTTGATACTTCGAATGGGCAATAAGTTGATCGATGATGAACTTTCTCTTTCAGCCAACGAGTCAGTCAAAACGTCGCCATCCTCTCGGTCAACATCGAGTTATTCGAGTAGGAGTACTACTCTAGTCTCTGCTCAAAGTATCCGAAGTATAGTGAAGGGAGAAACAAGTTCCGAAATACATGTCACACTACCAGAAAACGGGCTCGACTGGAACACTACCAGCAAAATCGAATATTCGAGTACCGTGCTGATTCGTCGGAAGGCATCTGAAAAGATATACGCAGTCGATACGATAACCTGTAACGCAAGCTGGGATCTGCCTCGCCTGAGAACGGACACAGAGGGCCTCGCTAAGAAGCTGAAGAGAGAAGATGCCGGCATGTTTGGTCTGCTTCCTTGCAAGGGCGTAATCAAAAGGAGAAGCTCAGAAACGAAAAGGCTTTCGTCAATGAGCTTGGCGTTCCAGCTGCCTCATACAGACATCAGCGTACCTCCAACCAGCTTGCGACATCACTTGCTACAAGAGCGCAGGTTCAGTTTAAACCGGATTCTGGACATCGCGAAACAGTTGGCTAGGGCTGTTAGCTTCATTCATACTTTCGACTTTGTTCACAAGAACATCCGCCCTGAAACAATCATCATACTTCCGGATCATGGCTCCGACCCGCCATGCGAGTTTGGCTCGGCGTATCTTCTCGGATTTGACTCTTTCCGCAACGTGAACTTTCACACGCTGAAAATTGGCGACGACGCATGGGAGCGTAACCTCTATAGACATCCTACCCGCCAGGGAATCCAAGCTCAACAGGCATATATCATGCAGCATGACGTCTACAGTTTGGGAGTGTGTCTTCTTGAGCTTGGGCTGTGGGATACCTTTGTGGAATACCAGTCCCATGCGGGTGAGGTTAGCAGTGGAAAGGTGCCGGGGACGGGACTAGGCTTGAGCTTGGACGATTTCAAGTTCCAGCCAGGCAACATTGAGCAGACGATCAACATCAAGAAGCGGCTAGTGAATTTGGCGAAGACTGGCTTACCAGCTCGAATGGGGGACAAGTATGCTTCCACGGTTATCACTTGCCTCACTTGTCTAGATGAAGACAGCGAAGAGCTCGGTGGAGAGGACATGCAGGACGCAGACGGCATTCTAGTGGGGGTAAGGTTCATTGAGAAAGTCTTGATGAAACTTGGGGACATCAGTCTGTGACGACCGATGCGGAGTAAGACCTTTCTCTCTTATGGACGCTTGGTCCTTTTAATGACTTCCGAATTCGATATAAACGTTGATTGAGGGTTTTTTGCGCCAAATAGTCACCTCCATCATATGAACCTTGTGTTTTGCCACGTAAGATACGGGACATTTGTCGTAGCTCCTATAGGTGGATCTGTTGGTGTCTCTTCAAGACTATCCGTTACATGGCCGACGACGAGCATGCACTTCCTATGCTGTCTCGTCAGAATCTTAGTGTCCACTAAAATCCTTCTAGAGCGTCCGGCCTACGCGCGACCTGTTCAAGTCCATATCGGCTCTGAGACAAAACGCCACACCTTCCTGCTCATCCATTGATTGATACTGCATTCCCTTTACACCCCGGAATCGTTCTGAATGTTGGTGGAGTCGTCACAGGAAGGATAGACCGGCTTGCCTGTGGGATTCGTGTTTCCAAGCCACAAGTTCTTGCAATCATATGCCCAACTGTTCCAACTGGCACACAACGTATGAGCTGCATCAAGGGCAGCTGAGTTTCCCGGAGGCCAAATACCGTTTGCTGCCTTTTGACGCTCCAAGATCTGCAATGAGAGACCGCTAGACGCATGTGCCGCAATATGACAGTGCATCAACCACACACCGGGGTTATCAGCCTTGAAGGCAATGACAACGTGCCCCTCTGCCGAGACCAGTACCACATCGCGGCGGGGGAAGTTGACGTTGGTGAGCTTAGGGTGGAAATTGTCAGGGTCAAAGTAATTGTTGTCGTCTTGTTGTACAATGGCGAAGTCATGGCCGTGAAGATGGATCTAATAGCGGCTTAGCCTTTTCAATGTTCTGAGGCTGCCAGGTCAAGGTCAAAACTTACTGGGTGTGGCCCAAACTTTGGATGGTCAATGACCAGATAGACCTGAAAATCACGGTTAGTGACAAGGCTATTCACATCCGGTTCCAATGCAACGAGCCGCTACACTTCAAGATTCCGGAACTCGACAGTTATGCGCTTACCCAATCAGTCTCGGTTCAGTTCTCCGGCACAACAACCCAACCGGTCGGCCACTCATCGCCTACATTGTCTAGATTCAAGAACGTAGGGTTGCCGTAGGTCGTTTGGAATGGCGTCACCTCGTTGTTGCCTTCCCCTTGGAAAGCAAAGAACGACAAGGCGTATTTGTTATCGGAACCCTCGGTAACAACGTTGAACACCTCCCCTACCTTACCATTCGCCGGGCGCTGGACCTGCCACTGCCAAGCGGGCTTCAGTTGATCATTGATGGCCTTATCAGATTCGGAGGTATCGACATCCCATGCATTGGTGGAGGGGTCAGCTGTACTGGTCCTGTCGTAGCGGAGAATGCCCGTCTTCATGTAGTTGTCTTGGTCCCCGATGTCACGGTGAAGCGTAGATGAGCTGGCAGCATACGTACGAATCTAGAAGTTGCCGTCCTTTGGAAGAGGGTTGGACGAGGGGTACGAGCTGTTGACCACTGGTGCTGCCTCGACAATGACATTATATCTCTGGCCGATCGCGATGGGAATTGAGGTGACGGTGAAGTTTTCAACGGGAACGAAGTCGGCCTCAACCACTATTAAGTTGTGGTTATCGATTGAAAAGACGAAAGTATTGTCGAAGGCGGTGTTGATCAAACGAAGGAGATATCGCTTTGCCCTGGTCGCTGGGTTGGGATCCGCGTCATCAAACGTAATCTCAAAGCCACGTGGAATCTCTTCGTCGTTTTGAATTTTGCCGCCCGAAAACCGAGTTATGTTGCCGTATCCACCCAAGAGAATATCCTGAGTATCTGGCTTGGCGTGTGGAAAGATGAATTGGAATGCACTGTTATTCGCTGCGGTGCCAGTGTCAGCCGTTTTCACGGAGCGGGTCGGAGTAGCAGATAGCATCAAACAAGCCAACAAAAAAAACAATTTACCTACCCCAATCAGTGACCGTAATTGGTTCAATAGCAACGTCGTACGGGTAAGAGGTTGGGCCATGGATTGTCTGCCAGTTGCTAGTCAGCCATGATGTGTATAATACATACAAGATCAGCATTGAAGAGCAGCCAGAAGACTTACGATAGGGGCTTGTGTTCCATCGGCATATTGCACGGAGTAATGACTGTGGTACCACGAAGTACCATACTGCGTCGCGTTTCATCGGTAGACAAACTCGGGGCGAGGGGCAATGGGGCACTGCGTGAGGCCATTCACACCGTCCATGTGCATGGTCTCCCACTGCCGGATGCCATGCCAGTGGATACTAGTTCCGTTGTAAGCAAGAGAGTTGCGCACGTGGATTTCTACGGTATCTCCCCAGCAGGCTTCAATAAGCGGACCAGGCCAGGAGTTATTGAAGACTTTGGCTTCACCGAATGCCAGTCCGTTGGTGTTAATAGTGTCGTCCGTAACGTCGAGATAGTATACGCGTGTGATGCCTTTAGGGGAAGCACTCTCATATTCAGTCGTGATGTTGTATTCCTGGCCTGTTTGGGCGTTACGCAGCCAACAGCTTTGGTCGTCGGGAGTTCCACATGGCTTGAAGCCAGGCATGTTCGAATAGTCGCAGACGAATTCATCGATGTTGCTGCCGGGAGGCCTGAAGATGGGATGCCCAGGTTTGATACCGTCGATGTCAGGCCGAGACAAGCCAAACTTAGCTCCTATTGGGTATTGTGACCCTTGAGTAAGGAAAGGCGATCCGAACAGCGAGTTGGCAACATCAGTGACGATGATCCAGAGATGGCGAAGTGACAATATGTTGAGTTGTTTTCATGCAGGTCGATGAACTGCTAACTGAGAGATAGGTAGAGCCTGTTTCTCAGGCTGTGCATCGAAAAAAGCTTAGATACAGAGAAATTTGAGCGCCTTTAAATAGACATTCCCCCTCTACAGACGGCATTTACACGTTGACCAATGTCCTCTACTTCCACGTATCGAGTAACAGTCCTGGCGACGACACATTAAGGCTTGCGAAGGGCGAAATCAAAATCGAATGGGCTTGTGCTGGAACTTGGTGGCGCTTTTCACCACATTCGAAACCGTCATTCGAGGGGGCGCTGCCAAGGAATTCCTGTGCAGCATGAGAAATCCTTCGTGATGGTAAAATGGTGGCGAAATGCAGATTAAACCCTCAGAACCTAACAATGACCATTATTGACTGCGCTCACACGAAGCATTTAGAGGTATTTTTGGGCTATTGGGCGATGAATGGGATAAAAACTCCAGCATCGGGAAAAGTAGGCCATGGGCATCCTCGTCATGTAGGATGGGAATCACGGAGTGGAAATTCGTTCCTCATGGCGGCTCCCACCAGTTCAACGCAAGGGACGGGCCGGCACGTGGCTTCGAAGTACCCAAGGGCGGCTTTCCATGCCGCAATAAGACAACATCAGAAGAGAGTTCGAGCCGGTATTTCCACTGGCCTGAATGCAGCCAGCCAACGGCCATGGTCTACGGATGCAGGCGAGGGGTTGAACGGTCGACTCTCAGCCAAGCGCGCATCTGGGCAGCTGAAATCTTTCAGCTGCCCGCGCTTGTTTCAACCTGGGTCAATAGTGTTCGTTCTGGAGCGTGGAAGACAGAGGCGGGAATGGGGGGTTGCCGTATCAAGCGTTGAAAACTGGTATACAAGCGTCTCGCATTGATCTTCAGACAATCAGGCAAGCCATTCCGTGTTCTTCTCCATGCCACCACTTCCTGTCAAAACGTCCAACCAGTTGTTTCGGCCGCTAGACATCGTGCGATGTGTCTCAGTGTCTCCTTCTCCCGTGATCATGCCAGCGGGCTACCCATACTGAGCAAGGTTGACAAGAGACTTTCTGTATATGCTATGCTTCGGCGACATCGAGCAGTCCTTGACGAATCTCGTAGAAGAACCCCTCCTGACTCCTGCTTTCTTTTACGGGGAATCAAATTTCTGCAGCATACCCACATTGATCATCATCAACGATGGGTATCGTTAGTCAGCGGCCATGACATTCCCGCTGACATTTGATACGATGGGTTACATGCGGCCAGAAGTAGGTGCTGTCAAATGGATTCGCAACCAAATTAGAATAGTTGGCCATGCGTGGAGTCGATGATAGAGGAGCACCTAACAAACCTGGAAATGGTGATGTGATGGAAAGCCATTACATTATGAGGGAAGTAACATCACTAGGATACAAGACCGTACGGATGAGATCAAAATATTATTCCTACCTTATGTACTCTGTACGGATACCAAATTTGCCAGACAGTTCCTAGTCTGCAGACCAGCCTCCGTTTTGCATGCTTAGGCGCTGTATCGGTACAGATTTTCAAATCAGGATACAACATCACTGCAAGGCGTTCTGTCGAATGCTACTCTGTACTCCGCAAAGTCCATGGGCCTTGATACGAGGCTTGCATTGATCGATCAGGCGAGACCGAAATGTGGGTTCGGAAGAGGTTTCGTCAACCCGGAAATGCAACCGTTTTCGGTTTATCCAATGAAGTGGGTTCAATCAAGGGCCGCGACTTGGCGGAAAATCCATTTTTCGTAATGCCCCACGGTCCCATCAATCCTTCTGATAAGAGGTTCATCGGCTATCAATGACTGAGTGGAAACGGGGCAGAAGCGAGCAGCGAAACGGAGAGAACAAGGTATATGGCCAGATTACAGGCTGTCCTAGCTGTCAAGCTTCTTCGGTGGGCAAAGGCAACATTGATCCAGTCGAGATGTCCAAGAAGACACAAGTTGGGAACATGGATACTTGACGTTTGGAACCAGGGCACCGAAACCTTGTCTTGGTAACCACATTACTTTGTTGCTAAACCATGGTACATTATCTTCGTGGTTTACATATCTCTCATCAAACGCGCAGTCTCTTCCAGACTCCTGGGTATTGCCTAGGTGTATCCTCTGTGAGCCTCTAATGATCTCGTACACCAATGCACTGAGGACGACGTTGATCCGGATCAACACTCGGGTACAGAGCGGAGCTCCAGAGCTCGCGCGTAATCTGCTCTCCGTGACATGCCCATAGACGCATCTTTGCGCGGGCGCCTCTGTCTTCCCTGACGAGGGCCAACATAGACGTTGGATGTTTGTTCCCCGTTCAACCGATCTACCGGACCTCAACCTTGTACTCGCTCTTGACCTGAATGCCCCCATTATACCTCGCTTGATCGTCGAAGCTGCGATCGTCGCTACGGTTGTCAGCGAACGCGCTGGTCTGGTTTCCCCCCTTCGGCTTCACGATGTGCTCCTGGCTACCAACCGATCCGTCGTCGGGAATTCTCTCGTGGTCTTCCCTCAAGCGCGATCGCTTGTGGTTCGAGCCGGTACCGCCGAAGGTGACGAGTCCGGTGGGGGTATGGCTGTTCGCGGTCGATCCCTTGTGGCGGCTGGGAAAGAGGGGCTTGATCGAGGGCGCGTTAGTGCAGATGATACCGATAACCTGCAAGTCAAGATGTTAGAGAAGCGCTCCCTGGTAAATAAAATGTGGGGAGATCTTACGGTTTCACGGATTGACCAGTTCAACCCCAAATCAAGTCTCTCGGGCGTCTGCAGGCAGATGATGCAGCGGAGAAGGGTGCAGATGACAATGAAGAAACCGGCGCAGAACATCAAACCGAAGGACAGTTTCCTGGTATACTCGGTTAGTGCATGCTCCAAAGGGTTGACGACAATCAACTAGACCTACCTCTTCAACGTGGTTTGCAACCTCCACAAGAGGGGAATCGGGATGTACATGATCAAAATATCGGTGCTTGGAAATACGAAGTTAGCCAATGAACTACGAATATTGGAAATGCAGCACTCAAACTTACAAGACATTTGTTGTGACCAGCGCATAGTACTTGGACCTATTCTGGGTACAATCATCTTCAGACAGGCGTTAGTATTGCCACAATTGATCAAGAAAAACATTGGCAAGGACGCTATCACGTACCTCCAGCGTAGGGGTACACCTGCCAAAGCCTGTGAATCGGGCGGCAGTGACCGGTGATGACTGCAAGAGTTGCCAAGTATGCGGCAACGGTGATAACAGAAACCACCTTGACCAGGCGTTCCTCGGGCAGAGACTTGCTGCACATGGTGTTAGCGACTACGATATTCTGTAACCTCTCCGAATTGGGACTGGCTTACGTGACTCTGAAGAAAAAAAACAGCATGATGCCCTTCAAACTCCAGATCAAGCTGACGTAAATGTACCACGCCGCGAACAGCCACTTAGCGCCGGTCTCGTGACTCTTGTACTCTTCGGGAGTCAGTGTGAGGGCAACTGCATCTGTCATGCCAGTAATGCTTCCCTTCTCAACTAAAGTCGCGGTGTTAGAGCAGTTGCGAGGTGGTCACGAGGGCAGCGTAATTACCAATGATCTGGCACATCATGACCTCAAACTAAGGGGTTGTCAGCCAAAGTCCCGCCTCGCGCACTCGCTGTGTCGCGTGACATACTGTGAAGAATAGAATGGCTGAAATCGCCAAATAATCGTCGCCTTGCCATTTCCAGCCAACCATCTTGCACCGACTGAAGACGCGGAGAAACAGGACGAGTATGCCGATTGCATATTCCACCCACATCTCAATGACGGTGGGCCATAGAGACTCTGGTACCAATCCCATGTTGGCTGCTGTGCGTGCGGTCGCGACCGTCTTCCTGCTCACGACAATCAAAGAAAAAGCTGAATGAACAAGGTCTAAAAATGTCCGGCCCAAGACTAACGCAAGGTGGAGGGGAAATGTCCGACTGATGAAGTAGGTTTATCAACAAGCAGGAGGAATCTCCAAACAATCCAAATTGGGACGATGCAAGGTCTTTGAATTGCAATTGCAAAACTCGGACGCTTTTCCGGGTTGGCCTTCAGATTCTATTCGGCAGTTGCGATCGACCAAGCGCCCGGTTCCTGAATCGCGGCAGCCTACGGCAGGGCCAATCCAATACGAAATGAATGTGGGCTGAGGTGGTAATTTGAAGTCCTACGGAGACAGTTCCGGGGGTTCCTGAGGGAAGATGGAGCTCAATGTCAGGGTCCACAGCGAATGTATCGGCCGTTGGCGAGTATTACCCCTTTCCTGTTTTCTCTCTCTCTCTTTCGTCCGGGGAACACTCGACACCCAACAGCTCTTTGCAAGACGCTTCTAAGCGACGCGATCAACGAAAATTTTGCCTAAAGAGCGATGCCGTGAAATCTCACAGTGATCAAGCGAATAAGTGTCACGTCAGGGGGTCCAGTTCGCACTGACCTCCGGATCGTGAATGCGTTGCCGCCAGTGGCGGCGCTGCAAGGAACATGGAAGGTTGTGGTATCATTTTAGAAGATGAGCTCCGCTGCAGATACTGCATAAGAGTAGCATTCCTAATTACGCGATCACGCAATGACAATATGCATTCTGGAGTTGGTGGACTCTGGATATGTTTGTTGGCCGTTGAACCGCGAGTCTGGGACGTCCGTGTTCCGTTGACTCCATTCCCCAACTCGAAGTGATTGTCAAGTGATCTGACCTCTTCGTCTAATTTTGTGGTATTCGTGCAACCTTGTAGGTTCTCGCAAAACATGGATATGTTCATTTCTGCATCTTTCCAGTCGTGGACTCCTCCGGCCGGCAAGTGCGTCGTTTTAATACCCAAAGTGGAGAAAGCTGGAGACGGTCTCTCCCGGGGAGGGGAGCCGGGAGATGGGTCTTTTGCTGGGGGCCCCTGTTAAACTTCTGACATACACCGCCAGCCACTGAACTCTATTTTGACCAGGACTGACTCGCTCGACCATAATACACGGGAGCTGATTGGCCAGAAGCATGGAAGTACTGTTATGGAAGCTCTTGTCTTCGTGTCGAACTTACGTGTACGGATGAACATGGTTGCAGTTGCATAGATTGGATCAACCCTCCGTTTATGACGCGTTGTGCCAGCAACAATCTCTCAAGAAAAGAAGTCTGAATGGAGGCATAAAAATTTCGTATCTTCATAGATCTAATCGTATTACATTACCAGGTTACCACTCAATAGGCTGGGAGGGAATGGGCTTGTCGAAGAAGGACGGGAGCTGCGAAGCCTCCACCACCTCGCTAGCGAATGACGGGTGATCGTCGTACGCCAGGAACCCTGTACCGTCGTAGCAGCCCACATATTCAGCGTCCATCTCCTCACCCTTCAGGATTGCAACGTCAACCCAGAGCAACAAATCACCGCCCTCCATAACTCCACCAGGTCCATACGCAGCGAAAAAGTCCTTCCTGAGCTTGACGTGGACCTTGTCGTAGCGACCGATGTACTCCATCTTTGAAAGATCCAACCAGAAGAGGATCTGGGCCTGGCGAATGTAGTCGAGACCAGGGAAGATGGAATTGGAGTGGCCGTTAGTGTGACCGTTGGTGTCGTTAGTGCCGTTGGTGTGGCCGTTGGTACCGTTGACACCGTTGGTGCCGTTCACGCCATTCGTTCCGTTCGTAGCATGTCCGTTGACAGCGCCGTTCGTCGCTCCGGGTTGCTTGTCGCCGGCGAAAGCATGGCAAGCTCTGGCGTTGACCATGCCCTTCTCGGGGCCAGCGTTCATGACGTTAGTAACCCATTGCTTGGTCAGGCCGTCGAAGTTCTCGTTCCAGTGTCCGCGCTCGTTATCGTTCATGTAGCTGTAGTCCTGGCCCTCGACGACGAAGTTGATGTTGTCGGGGAACTTAGAGACTCTGACTCTGCCGGACCGGATCTTATCGGTGAGGGGTCTCGGTGTAGGGACGGCGGGCAAGGGAGACTCGAACTTGTCTTCCGGGGAATCGGGGGTCATGCGCGAGCGGTAGGCACCCCAGTAGCCGGTCTTCGCGGTAAGGGGGATGGCCTCGCCGCAGTGGCCGAAGCCGGACGCTTGGGGCTTGTTGGACTCGTACATGCCACGGGTGGCGGGGATGCTGACGGTCTCTCTCCAGAATCCGGCATCGGCAGGGAGGGCGGACCAGAAGGCGGCGGTCTTCGGGCTCTCCCACCATGTCTTGAAGGCCTGAGGCGAGGCCCAGTAGCTCATCCAGACCTTGGAGGGGAGGTCATTCTGCTCGAGCTCCTCGACATGAATCGCAGCGCCCTTGATGAGTCCGTCGAATCGGTTGATGAGGGCAAGCTTCTCCTCCGAAGGTGAGTCGGCGTGGTACTGGGCTCCGAAAATGGACACCGTAAAGTGGTGGGCGGTAGGGAACTTGGAGCGAAGCATGGTTGCGGTGTCTTCGGCAGGAATAATCGGCTGATAATGACAGGAGTGACTACGATACCCGGCTGCTGCTTGACGTCCGGGCCGCTTGGGCTTTATACAAGTAATGTTCCATGTTCATCGCGGGTAATGCTTACCCGCGATGCGCCCTCGAAGCCCACCTCTGGCGGCCATTGGTAATGAGACGTTCCTGACTGGAAAGGGTCGCCGCCATCTCGACGGCTTCAGCGCCTGGGGTAAACCCTTTGTGCATTCACATATCAGGCACTAGTGGATGTGCAATGTGGCACTCCTGGTGGGCTGTCCCCAACGCAGAAAGCCCATCCGTGCTCGAGCCCACGCCCATGAATCCCAGATCCTGCGACTGTTGTCACCGCCCACAGTCCAGGGCCAATGCGGTAAACCCATCCTAGTTTACGACAAATGCCGCTGGTGGCTGGCGGCGGCGGATTGGGACTTCGCTCCGTTTTGGGTCGATGCTTCCGCTGTCACATTCCCCGACTCATGTACGCACATACGCGAGTGAAGGGTCCGTGGGTCTGCCTCTGGGGTTTTCGGAAGAGATCAACGCTTTGATCTCCCAATTGAGTTCGAGATGTGGGGGCTTGTTTTGTTGTCTCCCTCCCCCCTCGCTGAAATTCTTCAACGGCTTCTGCCGGATACTCGGTCTCGAGTTGGAACATGTCTGCGATAAAACGTCTCTGGGACCAGCTCAGTAATTTTAAGCGTCGATGCCATGGTTCACCTAAGTCAAGGGGAGCAAGAAACTTGGCAGTAAGTGGGAATATCCATTTGATTGTCTAGGGTTGGCGCTCTGTCCTCCTTCCAGCATCCAATTTGTTTGGAATAGGTAGAAGATGTTTTCAGTTTGATAGAATGAAAAATAAGGCTACTACGTCTGCAAGTTGTCGGTAAAGCTGCTAGGTTTGAGGGTTTTTAGAGGCGCTTGAGTGTATTATCACGCAAAAATATCTAATCAGCGCCTTGACATTAGTAGATATGCTCAATTGAGCATGCATATCCCGAGGTAGCTATATTCTGTTGAAGTCTGCGGGCCATTTATCCGCCTCAAACATAAAGTCCTGTCTGTGATCTTTGTGAACCAAGAGATTGAACTAGAGGCTGATTTGATGCCATACTGTGCGCACAACCTGTGATAGGTTGGTTGGGATGATTGTGGTTGCCTTCCCAAAGCCTCGGTATTTCGCTTGCCACGTGTGTATGTACGGCAATGCAAGTAAGAAAAAGAAAGCAAACTGCATCTGTCCCGAAGCCAGCAAGACTTCTCGTGGCAATGGCCTGATGACCCGGAAATTTCTGCATGTTATCTGTGCTGTCAAGCTGTCAAATTTGCCGAGGTTCTTATCTTCAAGTCTATTTTGGCCACTGTGTAAAGCCACAGTCTCCATCGATAGCATAGCCACAATGAGCAGCCACTCAAAACATCACCGTTCACACCCCGCTTCTGAGAGACTACCATTGGTGGATATGGTTTTCACAAGGTTCAAGGTTTCTTGAGGACTCCAAGTGCTAAGTTATGACGGCCGAAAACTGGTAAGACCCGGATCCTACGCGGATCTTCCAATTGGCCTCAGTAGCCTCGTCAAACTCCACCGCCAAGATGCCTTCCTGCTCAACGCTTACGTCCTGGCCTCCTTCTTGCACTTGGGTAGCGTTCAGTGACACAACACCAACGGATCCAACGGGAACCACGATATCATAAGTCAAGACACCTTCGCTGAGCTCCCATGCGGCGCTGGCTTGTCCAGCGGGCGTTAGGTAACTAGACGAAGCCGAAGTCAGGTAGGCCTCCAATATGGGCTGGTAGTTGATCAAATTCCATCGAACGGCGTCGGCCGCAGTGTCCAGCCCACTGAGTCGCTGAATCCATATGCCCGGAGCCCCCATCATGAAATGATTATACGACGAGCCACGGCCGCCATTCCTGGTAGGCAAGGTTAGCTTGCCATGGAAAGAAGCACAATGGCACTATCAGTTCTTACAGAAATTCCCAGAGACTTGTGGCCCCTAGCTCGATTGAATAGGAGTAACTGGCGAGACCCCAGCTGCTAAGGCCTGGAGCGCTGAGCATCTTGAAGATAACGTCGCTCCTGCCTCGGTATTCGAGTACGCGAAGGTTAGGAAGCGCGATCTCCCCGACCGTGGGATAGAAGGTAGTGTTCTCAATCGATGTCAAAAGCGAGTCAAACACCAAATTCTGGTATTCTTCCGGGACAATGCCTACGTCGAGCGCAAGAGCGTTTGATGCCTGGATGTTTCCGGAGTAGTACGCTTGTGAGGTGGTGCCGTTGGTGTCATCGATGAACCATTTGTTGTGCAGAGCTTCACCAATACTGCTTGCCAATTCGTCCCACTTCTGAGCCTCCTCGGAGTTGCTCAGCCAGAAGGAAATCTGCTTCATGGCCGTCGCAGCTTGATGATAGCCAAAAGTATTGGTCAAACCGACAGGCACAGTGGGAGTCTTCCCGTCGCCGGCGCCCAGTCGCTCAGTCCAACACCTTCGATTACTGAGTCGGTTGCTCGGCGGCCGAGGTAGTCCATATACGCAACCATGATGTTGTAATTCTCACTCGGAACCCTCGTATCGCCATATTATCGATATAAGTGCATCGCAACCCGCATGATGGCTGAGCCCCATTTGGGGTCGTCGCGAAACTTATCGGGAAACACATCGTACTCAGGTGCAGTGGTTGGGATCAGTCCTTCCGAGTTGGCGCCGTACTGAGCTTGCGCGTCAGCGATAGTGTGCATCAGGCTGCAGCCGTAAGCCTGGAGGTCGAAGCGTCGGGCGAGCAGGTCAAAAAGCAGATGGGCTTGCTCCAACCAGCCGAGCTTCTCACGGTGAGGGCAGTCAGTCAGTACGCTGTACATGTTGCTCTGGTGGCCTCGTTAGCACATGGTACAGCGAAGAAGGCGGTGTCTTTGAGCGTACCTTCACCGAGCGATCTGTGATCTCATAGAGCTTGTTCAGAAACGAGTTGCTTGTTTCAACAGTGCCAACTTCATCGTTCGCTGCCCGAATGACATTCGGTGAGTTGCGGTGCCCACAACCTGGCAGCCTGGAATTAGATGTGTTTCAGGTAAAGCGTTTCTCCTGTTAACAAATCAAACGAGCAGGGACAAACTCACACAAATATGCCGTTACCCATGAAAACGGTAACGAACGCCGTAAGTCTCAGATTCATTGCCTGCTAGGGTATAACCGTCGAACACCGGGCATCCGGTATTCGTCTGTGAAGGATTCCCGCCGACAAGCCTTTCTGGGGGGCCAGAAGACGATTCGAGTGACCGCCTTGTCCGTTCCGTTCGTGGTGAATTGATACCACCCTGCAAAGTTGACACCAAAGTCAAAGAGATAGCCACATGATCTCTGAAAGGGCGTTATAGGTAAGCCAAGTTTCAACTCAGGTCTGATGAAACGGATTAGTACGAACCTATGTTATCGACTTTGCTGTTGTCGTCTCAGTAACCTTAAGCTGCGGCGCGGTGGAGCTATACAGCTTCCCAGCACCCCCTATCGGACCGGTTGAAATATTGGCAGGTTTCCAATCTGAACGGTCTCCCTGAGAGCTTAACCAGTTGGGGATGCTTTTCCTAGCGTCATATTCCTCTCCACCATACCACGCAGCTTCGAGAAGCGGGCCGTCGGTGGTAGTGATCCATGTACCATCTGAAACCACAGACTTACTGACACCATCGCACGTGTATTCGAGCTGGAATTTAAGGATAGGCGGCTTGGTCGACGTCGTGAACTTTCGGTTGAAGAGAATAAGTTATTGAGAATCCTCGTTATAATGAGAGAAAGCTGAATCAAGCTGCACTTACTAGCGGTTTAGCAGGGGCTTGTCTGAGTTATACATGCCTTTGCCAATAAAAACACCAATCACATTGTCGCCCTCAGTGAGAAGACCGGTGACATCGTAGGCGCGGTACAACATGGTACGGTTGATGGTAAAACATCCGGGGCCGAGGACTTCGTCGGACACTGACTTGCCGTTGAGTTCGGCGTTGAATACGCCTAGTCCGGTTATGTAGAGTCGTGTTTTGGTTGCGGTGCAACTGACCTTGAACTCACTGGCAAAGAGAGGTAGGGAATTAACACCCGTGACAAACTCATTGTTCTCGATCCACTGCGCAGTCCAGTCGCTTTCTTCCAATAGCCCGAGCTCGAAGGTGGAAGGTTCGCTCCATGATGACGCAACATCATCTGCGTCCCAGGCTCGAACACGCCAGTACACTTGGTTCCGGGAACTTAGAGTGCTGCCGTTCCAAGACGCAAAAGCTTGAGTACTGTCAGCTCCCCAGTGTCCCACAAGTCGCGCGCATCGAAACCATCGGAGGACGAGGCAGCCTGAAGTTGGTAGGCCGTCTGATTATCACCGCGGCGGTCAGATTGGAGGCGCCAAGACAAGACTGGGTTGGTCGCATGGATGCCCAGCGGCGCTGTCACGCCTTCTGTACGAAACGACTCAGGCTCAATGAATATGGCGGAGACTACGGCGACCAACGCCGGGGAAAGTAGTGCAGGAAGCCGCATCCTAAACAACGTAATGATGTTGATACCGTTGATGCGTGAGGAGGGAAATCGCTCTACACGATTGGAGAAGATCAGATGCAGAGAGAATGATCAGCAACCGAGAACTCAAGTTGCGTCCTCCTATCATTTAATACGCATTGGCGATGTCAATTGGGTGCAAGGCGGTAAATCTGTATCCATTCCATTTGGGTATTTTGCCGACGATCTGGTCTGTTGGAGCTATCCGCATCCCAATTGGGACAACTAATCCCCGCCTCTCGGTATAGTTATTGGCGAACCTAGCCGCGGCTCTCTGTTTGACTTGCAATATTTGAACATTAGTTGCGGATAGCAACACATCTGCATCTAAACTCCAAGTTTAGAGGATTTGCAGGGTCTCTAATTCATAGCCCTCAATGTCACATGTTGAAATTTGAAGTAGGCCTGCGTGCAGTTACCGTATATGTTTTCTCATTGTATATAAATGTAGATTTCGTTCTTTGATTTGTCTTAAGTGTAAAAATTGGCTTAGCTTAAAGCGCATTGCCAATCTCCTCTTCGTGTGGTTGTTACATGCATTCGTAGCCAATACCATAAGCATCCAATCTTGGCGCTAATAAACCCCCCTCTAGGCTGTCCCATAGTCATCATATCTCCAAGTCGTATTTGACTTGCAATTATGTCATTGACTTGCCTGGCTCAAACCACAGCAGCAATCTGATTGTTCTTGAATCGGTCGGCCTCGCGCTTCAGCATGAGGATGCAGCTGGCGACGATGAAGGCCTCGGCGTCCTGAATTGTCGTTTTCTTATCATCTGTCCACATCCCAAGGTTCATGATCAAGCGGCCGCCATTGCCGCCCATCCAGCGACTGGTTCCTGGAGTGCGGAGATCCGCGTTACGCACAAGCTGGGCGATGGGAACGCCGTGCTTGCCCACCTTGCCATTGCTGGCCAACGCCGGGGCGGCGTCGTCGGTCCGTTCCAAGACTAGAAGTGAGGATGCCTCGGAGACTTCTTTGCGCTCTTCGCGCCCACCATAGCGCCACTCGAACGTGCCGAATGACGTCTTCAGTTCCTGCGTGCGCGACATCATGTTGCGACTTTTGACCTCGACCACCTCGCACACGAGATGGTCTGATTCAATTGCCTCTTCCACTGTAGCAGCAGCTCCCGGGGATAGTATCCTCATTCTGGGACGACGGCCCGGACCCCAACGGTAAATGGTTGATATCACAGGTGTCTGGCTAGAGTCGGAACCGCGGACGAGCGCACAGGAGTTGGAGTTCTTCTTGAGCCGGATGGATGTGTACTCTAGCTCGCCAGAGCCGACACGGTAGACGGAGATATTTTCCAGCACATTGCCCGTGAGGGCCTGGCTCGTGTCGTAGCCAATGGCCTGTATGTCAAGTTGGCTGATGATGCCGCTGTCGCTGGGTGATACGAAAGTTCCCGATACGAGCGACTCCTTATAAACAGGAGGCGCGTCACCGTAGTCGGAGTTCCCAGACGATACTGAGCTCATGATTGAGATCGTACAAAGATGATGTTAATAGCACGCCTCAAATGCCGTACTTTGATCGAATGAGTTGTTTGACGTTTTCCAGGAAGGAAATTGAGCGCGTTTATCGTCTAGTGTTGAACGATTTTGAAGTGGTGGTGATCTCGTTGAAGTGACTATAACCAGATAGATATGAATTTGGAGGTCGCTTGGCAAGAATTATCTAGCAGGTTTGGGCACCAGTGACGCTGTGAGAGACAGATGAGGCTATTCCCACTTTGGCAAATATGTGGGAGGCACAGAACGCCACTGGGCACTAAGCCACAAGCAGACAAAGGAAGTCACTGAATGGATGAGACAGCGGCAACCGCTTATTGGCAGCCGCTGGACTCCGCACTTGGAGCAAAAATGAGGTCGGCGGCGTCAGACCCTGACTTGGTCGTCACCCGTCTCTTGACCAGTCCGGGTGCCACGTGCCGGACTTCTTGCATCCTCGATCTACGCGGATCGGTTTGCCTTGGCAAACACCGCCATCGTGGTCGCATAGGACTGCAGGTTTAATGTGCTGCGGCGAGGCTACTTGGTCTAGCGCATGTCAGCAATTACAAGCGCAAGTCTATCACATTTGTTAGTGATGGGCCTTGTTGTCTCGGGGGAGATCTTTTAGGCGCATCGCTGGCTGCGCCACCATTCACCAGGAACTGCAACCCCTTGTCTCCTGTCAGGAACTGTGTACTGAGCATCCTTCACATCAAGGCGCTGACATATGCTGCCTTGAGTTCTAATGCTGCAAGAAAGTCTTGCGACGTTGCGTAGGTTTATTTGGTATTCACCATTGAGATTACGAAACAAGTGGTCAACTAGGCGAAACTCGGGAAGCATGAAGACCACCGATCAACCTGCTTGTGTTACGGATACCAACATACTATCAGGCCCTAGCAGGAAAGCCTTCGACTGAGACTTTAACCTTTTAATACCTTCGACTCTGGCCACAATGGGCGAGTTGGGGTGGTGGCGGGCAGTTATTCCGGGACCCTTGGGTACGTATACTGCGAAGCTACTGGACTGGGCACTGACCGAGGTGCTTTTACTGCTTTTTCCCCTACTGTGAAAACCCCTACTTGATGGGCTCGAAACTTCCTCAACATACCTTCGACTGAGGATTTGGGTACAGTACATAGACTGCATCGGTCATTGTTGAGGGCTCGGTCGAAATTTGGAAACCAACAAATCAGTTTTCGTATTCCATCAAATGAGGGTGCATCGAAGCAATATTCACTCTTGCTATTCAGGTAATCATTGAAATCCAGCTTAACGTTGTTACATGTATCGCGGCATTTTCTCTTGGGCGGGAAACGATTAGAGACAGGTTAACTCAAGCACCGACGAAAGTCGTTTTGTCGACCTCGATAAGGTGGCGACATATTTGCTATTCGCGATTTATAGAACTAAGAACTGTGCACGAACAGCCATAAGAAGCTGTTAGCCTATATTACTACTCAATGCCGCCCTAATCCACCTCTAATGCCGTCGAAAAGCATTTGCCATGCGAGGGTACGTCCAAGCCTTCTCCTCGCGACGGGTAATGTTTCGCTCTGAAAGGCGGTCTCCGGTCACAAGGAATGACTGAGGAAACCAGTCAGGAAGGCCTGCAGTTGAGTTCATGCCAAAGCTACCAGCCTTGATCATCTCACTGAGGGCACGCCCGCAAAGCCAGGCGAAGCACATTCCCTCTCCATCAAAAGCCGCCGACACCCATTCTCCTCCAGTAGTGGCATTCTTGGCGGGCCTCTTGGTCGCAGTCTCTGGTAGGCGTCCTACAAACGGGCGCGAATCAGACGAACTGCCTTCGATTCCTACCCACACACGCTTCGTTCGACCTCGCCAGACGTTGGCATCGGAAGTTTCAGGGAAATCCTTTCGTTCAGAACCCCACGTATCATATCCAAAGTAGTTCGGCAGAGCACCATTCAGGTACGAGACAGCCGTATGACTTGGAGGGCCGCTGTCGCTGGGAAAGGTGGTGCCAGGCTCGTCGCCCTCGATACCGCCCCCGAACATCAGCTCCCCATTACGGGGCATCTGAACGATGTAGTCCAAGCCGTTGCGGAACAGCGACCATGCGCGACCACCAGGGAGGCTGCCGTTTCCAGTGTATGATGGCCAGCTTCCAGCCTTAGGAAGGCCGCTTCCGCCGATCTGGGCACTCATGTGCAGGCGACCCCCTCTGATGAGGCCTTGCAGTCCAGGGACAAAGTGGGGAGTCCAGGCATTGGTAGCATAGACGACGTGTTTGGCTAGAATTTCCCCCCGATTCGTCGTGACCTCATAGCCAAAGTCTGATGAACTGATAGAGGAAGAAACATTCACCGCAGTGTTCGTGTCCAGGGAAAATCCGGGGTAGTCGTTCAAGAGAGCTTTCAGAGCATGCGTGATGAAACGGTACGGCCAAATAGCCCCGGCAACCTTCGTTGTTCCGGTAAGGATTCCCACGGTTTCTGAAAGCAGGGACATCTATTGTCGTCAGTACCTTTCCTCGACGGATTGGAAATCTTCTACTAGACTTACATTGCGAGCTTCTTCCTTCTCGAATGCGGTCCACTCGTTACCAACATCAGGAACCTCTCTCTTCAATACCTGTAACTTCTCAATGGCGGTTTTCCATTCCTTCTCGTCAAAGAAGGCATCAATACTGTCCACTACACGAGCTTCAGCCGCTTGACGTCCCTCCTCAGGCAGAGAGTTGGCCGCCGATATCAAAGCATCAACGTGAGCAGATCGAAGCCTCGTAATTTTGGCCGCTTCAGCCTGGGATACGGACTGCTTAGCACCGGCGTACTCAGAGTAAGATGACGGCCTGATGTGGCCACCGTTCCTTCCTGTTGCACCCGAACAAGCTTGACGAGCCTCGATCATGGCAACGCGGAGCGGCTTGGTGGCGTTGTCTTTGAGGAGATGCCAAGCGATGCTGGTGCCCGACATGCCAGATCCGATGATGACGACGTCGGCTTCCGTGGGGAGATCCTGAGACTGGTGATTGGCAATACCGTCGAGAGGAGGAAGTTGCCAGTACGATATACTCGGATCAGACACTGGTAGGCCCGGATCCTGGGCCAAGAGCCCGGGGAGAAGAGGCAGGATAATGGTGAATAGAAACTTCATGTTGATAAGAGAGCGCGGTGGGTTCTCTGACGCCCATAAGAGAATAGTCACTACAAGACATTTGTGCGAGTGGAAGGAAAGGTCGATATTTAACCAAATTTCGATTTTCATCACAAGGCATCAACAAGATGCAGAACTCAGGAGTACTACCAAAAGAGGTAATCAATGCACCCAATGCCTAGGCAGACTCGTTCCTTTCAGCTGCAGGTTTGCTAGAATACGAAGCTTACCTTGTGGAAGTGGCGCATACAACATAGAAGGTGGAGATTACAAGAAGAAAATGGACCGGTGGTTGCTGTAACGAGTTCATTCTGTCTTGGCGATACCACCTACAGCGTTGCACGCCGAAGTTCAGCATCTAATGTTGGGTAGATTGAGGCATCTGTAAAGCCAGCGTCGCGACGCGTTCCGCGGGTGCGAATTGCTTCTCGCCAAAAACGGAAACAGTAAGCACGGGGCAGGGATCCGGCAGGCATTTTTCACTGGAACCCTCGTTGACGATAACGATAAGAGGGCGATCTCCTGGGGCATTTAAAGTGGAAACGTCCGAAGGCTTGGTGAACGAAATCGTGCTGTTTATGGAAGGTGATTTTTTGGTGCCGCGCTCCTGGCCGGAGGCCGCGGGGATTTCTAGTTTGAGCGGATGCATAGCGGAACAGATTGGAATAAGGAAAACCATAACAACAGCAACAGCAGAACGAGCAAGAATTGAAAGCTTACTTGACAGACTAAGGTACCAACATCAAATCATGAGACTGGAGCCGCGGAGACGAAAGTTGACGAAGGAATTGAATATGACCGTTGGGCTCGGCTTACTGCAGAATAGACTGGTGAACTGTTTCACCTATCTGCCCTTCAGCAATTGAATTATGGAAACCTAATTAACTTGCACAAGGCCAATATGATAAATTACTATCATCATAAGTTGAAACAATTACGCAGTACCGAGAAGACCCTTTAACCATGCATCACAGGCCCCAAAAGGCTAGAGAATATTCCTGCTCTGATACGTTTGTTTTAGATGTTGTAGGCATGGTATGGATGTCCGAAACGACGCCTAGAGATAGACAAGACGCAAGTCATAGCATAGCACTGGCAAATGTAGTTGATAGAAGTCAGTACGTCTAGGTCCCCTCGCCTTGAGTTTTACATCCTAAACGTAGGACAAATGATTTTTCGAATTGCTAAAACGATTTAGCGCATATTGCACTTTGCCAATGTGGTAACGTCCCACACCCACTTTTGGCCACCCCCCACATTTGGCCACCCCATTTTTGATGCCCTCACATTTATACACATCAACTTCAACCAATATTTATATGTATTATGATGCCACGACGATGCAACTTTCGCTGTCACTAGGGTTTTCAGACTCGCTAGATTCATCTGTGCTACTTTCAAGTTCGCCCGCCTCGATTTGAGCCCTCCAAATAGCCTCAATATCGGCAAACTTCGAATTTGGGCTCATTCTGACCTTCTTCCGTTTCCTGGCCCTACTGGCATCAACCTCTGCCTGCAGTGCCTCAATCTTTCGCTGGGATACTGCCAATTGGTATGCCTTCTCATCAAAGCCCTTTTGAACCTTCCGAAAAAGCAGGCGCTGCGTATGCTCATCGGTATCCAGCTTACTGAACAGGCTGAACTGATCCTGAAGCTCATCCCTCTTCTTAGGGGTTGACCAAGGGACTGCTGATGTATCTGCCGCCTATTTTTCGCTTGCTTTGCCATCAGAGAGCCCTTTGCAGACCTGACCAGCTGGTTTGGCAGGGGTTGAAGTGTTCTCAAGCAGCAGAGGGCTCATGAGGGGTCTAGCCATACTGACAGGCCACAAACCAGTCTATTTCCAGCCACTGATGATGTTTTTGCTTGTCAGGGCTGCCTTACGCGCCTTGCCATAGCATATAACGAAATTTCTCTTGCCTACAACTATACCAGCATCCTATTCAGCCAGTAATCCAAGCTCCTTCTTGTATGCTGCCTTGAAGGGCCTAAAAACCGACTGATCGAGTGGCTGAAGGACGTGTGACGTGTGTGCTGGCAAGAACAGTAGATATATCTTGTTCCTGAAGCATGTATACATAAAAGCAGTAGTCTCATAGCTTCCATGACCATCCAAGATCAATAATCTGACCTCTGAGGGGTCCCCTGGCTGGGTTGAAGGGATAAAGACCTCTGTTAACCACTTAACAGCTGTAGAGTCTGAAGTCCACCCGTTTTCTATAGCTATGAACTTCCAGGATTCATATGGCGTCAGATCTAGAGGGAACCACTGCTGCTGGACATTCTTACCCTTATATATAACAAGTGGAGGCAGTGCCTTGCCAGTTGCAGAGATACACTCGATCAGAGATGTCCAAGCATGCGATCCAGGCTGTTTCTTGCGGATAGAACGAGTTTCTGATGATCCAAGAACAAGCCCATTTGATCCTCTACCTTCTAGGATACCAGTCTCATCCATATTGTATCAATTATAGGCCTTGATGGCCATGATCTCAGGTATGGCGAGGTGCTTAAACCATTGCCTGATTATATTAGTTGAAGCTCCATTGATACGCTGGGAATCGATTGCTCTGCTTCTTTGGACCCTTACAGATGGGTTTCTCTTAATAAAAGACTGTACCCAGTTCTTTCCAAGAGGCTGGGAGTCTCCATGGACCTGTAGGATGCGTTCAGCAAAGTCCTTGAGTTGTTGATGAGTTGGAGGTAGGCCTAAGGCAGCCTGAATTCGAACCCATTCAGCCAAATGGCTTTCCTGGCCTGCAGAGAGCCTTTGCAGATCAGAAAAGGCTACATCCCTTGCCTGATGACCCTTCATACGATTTTTCAGCGTCGATCGTGGTATACCCCATTCAAATGCAGCTTTTTTAACGCTAGTACTGTGTGCGATAGCTTCAAGAGCCTGGTTAATGTCATCTTCGGTATATTGAGGCATCTTGATCAAAAGAAGATATATACGAAAGATGAGGGCGATTGGATTAAAATTGGTGAAGTTGTGGAAGGTTGAAGTTGGTGGTCATCATGGCGGTGAGGCATTTTTGGGGTGGCCAAAAGTGGGTGTGGGACGTTAACAAAAGCTACGCTTGCGCTCCCGCAATCGTGGGTTCCACTTTTGCGACAGCTAATCAATTGAATCCATCTTAAGGCTGCAAGCTGTGAGAAGGCGGGAACTTTTTGCTGCGATGATCCCCTGTTTCTGTTACTCATCTGGAAGTACTAAGACGAGCACAAATATTATCCGAGAGCAGACATGACTAGTCGATTTCCTCCATTTGCACTTACAGCAGCGCCATTTACCCAATGGGACTCCTCGCTAGCGAGAAACCCCACGACATAGGCAATATCATCCGGAACCCCAATGCGGTCAGCCGCCGTTGTGTCTCGAATTTGCCCTTCCATATACCCTGGAGGAAGCAGATCCTGGCTGGATTTGATCGTATCAGTCGCCTTCAGACCAACAATGACACTGTTGAAGGTAGCCTTGGTGGTCTTGCCGAATTGCTCAGCGAGCGAGCGCGTGTAGCTCTGAAGGGCAGCTTTGCTGGCTCCGTAAGTCATGGTGGGGTCCAAGTTGGGCTGATAAGCCAGCACACTCGATATAGTAACAACTCGGCCCCCGTAAGGTGGCAAATGCGGCAGGACAGCGGTGGTCAAAGAGATGGGGGCGAAGACATTCGCCTGCATCACTTCAAGAAAGACCGGCAGTGTTGTGTTGCTGACTGGCTGCACTTTGGAGGGGTCGCCAAGGACGGCGTTGTTGACATGAATATCGATCGACTCGGTGGAAAGATGTTTGAGAGTCTGAGAGACGACCTTTGCTCCAAACGAAGGGTCAAAAGCGTCTGCTTGGATGGCGACGGCGGCATCGACTCCGAGCTTGCGGCACTCGTGCAGAGTATCCTGTGCAGCCTGAGAGTTGCTTGCAAAGGTAATGGCCAACTTGGAAAGACCCTTACGGGCTAAGTGAATGGCGATAGCCTTTCCGATGACACGAGATGCTCCGGTAACGATGGCAGTCTTGCCAACAAGTGACCAAGGTTCTTGAGAGCTGGGAGACGGAGTCATATTGGCGTTGCTAAGAGTTCAGGGCTTTGAACTAAAGAGTGCGAATTTGATAAGACTTTGGCTGATAAAAACTGAAAACAGGGACCGACAGTAGCCAATTAATGGAAAACAGTCTCGTGCGGCAACAATTTTTGGACTTGCCACGGCTCTGCGATATCTGAACACCTCCAAAGTCCGCTCAACCTATGCCTGCGGCTAAAGCGGAGGAATCGCGCAGCGGGTGCTAACATGGAGCATGCAGAGCGGAGCTGGGCTATCACGACGGCACCGAGAAAGGGAATTTCGGCCGGGCTTCCGGCAGGAGTGGGGTTCAGCTGGCAAAGTTGGTATGAGTCGCCGAAACTCAAAGCCTTGCCCCACAAACTACCGTCCTCCTGGAGAGGAGCCACCGTGCGTAGCCGGCGCAACTCCCGACCGAAAAACCCCACGATCGACGTAAAGTCTCCGAAGTATTAGTGGTAATCACGGCAGTTCGGGGAGTTGGCGACATCCGTCTTGCGCCAATATGCAAGCAACAATATGCGGTGCCGGAAATGCTGTGCGGACTTCAGCAGGGAGAAATTTTGCAAGCCATTGGATTTGAAGATTCGTTCTGCATGAACTCAATTCGCATCATTCATCACTCAAGTTGAACAGACTTGGAAACTCTCGCCTGTCACCTGTGATGATTAGCTTTTTGATGCTGAACTCGGTTCACGTGGGGAAACCTTTCCTTTGAGCTAGATATATAAACCAGAACGCCCTGACGACTGTTCGGAGCATTCTAAACTCATGAAAACTATTCACAAACCAGCGAAGATGTCAGCCAATCATTTCTCGAGCTTTATCCCAGATGTCTTTATGGCGTCTACGCCCACCGAGAAACCTATTCACTATATCGTTACCGGATTTCTGCTCCTGTTGGCTTTCTACACAGTCACCGGCCATGACCAAACTCTCCCAGAAGTCAACCCTCGCAAGGCACTTGAGGTTACTAACAGGCGTCGTGTGAACGATTTCATTCACAATGGGAAAAAACTCATGATTCAGGCTAAAGCGACCTTTGGGAAGAATCCATATAGTATACTCTCCGAATGGGGCAGTCTTGTGGTGCTTCCTGCGGACTATCTCCTGGAGCTTCGAAATGATCCGCGCTTAGACTTTATGACCCCATCGAACGAGGTAAGTTTTCTTGGCTCTGCAATTTACACAGCTAATTTGAGTAGGACGGGCACGGCTATATCCCGGGTTTTGATCCATTTACAGCGAAAGAGGGCCATCCACAAATGGTGACAAAGTATCTGACTAAAGCCCTCAGTTAGTAAGATCTTTACCTTTCGTAGATGTGCTAATGCTGACGTTCATAATCTTCTCAGCCAAGCTGACCAAGCCCATTTCCGACGAAGCCACCATTGTTTTGCGCCAGGTCATGACTGATGCAACAGGTATTCCCAACTATAGCCCCTTGACAAGCTTCTGCGACATTTCTGATGACAACTATCAGATTGGCATGATTTCGTACCCCGAGAGAAAATCATCCAAATTGTTTCCCGTCTATCCACCAGAGTCTTTATGGGAGAAGAGCTCTGTCGCGATGAAGAGTGGTTGAGAGCCTGTGCCGACTACACTGTCACTGCATTTGGCGTCGGGTATCAGCTCGGACAGTATCCAAGATGGTGCCGTCCATTGATTCACTGGTTTCTTCCCTCATGCTGGGAAGTCCGCCGGCTGTTATCCCACGCTCGTCAGGTCTTGAAGCCCCACATCGAGAGACGAAATGCCAAAAAAGCACAAGCTGTCGCATGCGGCGACACAACTGCAACCTTCGACGATGCGATTGAGTGGTTCAGTCAAATCTTCAAGGATAACTATGACCCAGCGACACAGCAAATCACCCTTTCGCTCGTCGCGATACACACGACAAGTGACCTGCTTCAGCAGACAATGGTGGATCTGGCTCAACACCCAGAGCTTTTCCAGCCTCTGCGCGAGGAGCTCGTGCGCGTGCTGGGAACAGAGGGCTTGAAGAAGTCTTCGCTTAACAACCTGAAGCTTATGGACAGCGTATTGAAAGAGTCGCAAAGAGTCAAACCTGCATTACTATGTAAGCTGATCCTTCTCACGAAAACTCATTAAGCCTGCCCTGCAGAGCTGTTGCTGACTTCTGATCCCCAGGCACATGGCGTCGTTTGGCCACTGAGAACATCGAGCTCTCCAGCGGTTTCGTCATCCGCAAGGGACAGCGCGTGATCATCAACAACACACACATGTGGGACGACGAGTGGTATGATAATCCGGAACAATACGACGGATACCGCTTTCTGCGCATGCGCAACACCGATGAGGAGAAGCATGCCCATCTAGTGAGCGCCAGCCCAAAGCATACAGCGTTTGGCTACGGCCAGCATGCCTGTCCAGGCAGATTCTTCGCTGCGAATGAACTCAAAATTGCCCTGGCCCACCTGTTGCTCAAATACGACTGGAAGTTGGCGGATCAGACGAGAGACTCGACGCCTGTGCCCTTTGGCATGGCGTTATTGCCGGATCCCAACGTCAAGTTCCTGATTCGGAGACGCAAGGAAGAAATCGATTTGGATTCGCTGGAATGCTGAATGCTGAATATGGGATTGAAACCAAGACAATTCTATGCACCCATGTTTGTAATTTACATTCGAAGGCACCGCCGTCCAGACTGGAAGGCTACCTCGAGAGTATTGGACGATTCGAAAATGAAAGCAGTAACCTTACGGTGTCAACTAAGTGGGTTGACAAGTCAATTCAGCTGTCTACTAGGTACTCAATCAAGACCAGTCCCCAACCACCGCCTTCGGAATCCCGAAGCGCTCGCTCATGGTGACCCAAGCGGCCACAAAAAGCAAGATTCTAAACGCTTTTACATCGGCCTTGTCCCCGAAACCTCTATCCAAAGCTTCCTTGACCTGTTTGTAATCTACGAATCCCAACTTTTCCACCTTTTCTTGCGTAAGTGTCTTCTCTAACATTTGGTGCAACGGCCCACCCTTGGGCCACACAATCGGTGCAGTGAACGGGTGCTTTTGCCTCTCGTAGAGCTCCTTCAGGATGAAGGGCTTTGCCGCTTCTCTCAGGATCCACTTCTCAGTGAGAGCCTGCGACGCGACGCCGATGCCCTCCCACCACGGCCCTTGGTGGCGCTCGGGCGGGATCTTATCGGGTGTGTACGCCATCTTCAGACTCGGCGGCAAGTTGTTGATGTACTCTGTCAGATTGTGGTCGAGGAACGGCGTGCGAGCTTCGACGCTGTGGGACATTTCTGTCAAGTCGCCGAGGCAGCTGAGAAGGACGTTCGGTAGGGGCCCCTTGCTATAGATGTATTGCGCCGTATGGAGAGGGTGCCATTTCTTCTGCATCTTTTCGTGGATGGCTGGCTTGAAAGATTTGACGATGACGTCTTTACAATCGAGGTCTGTCCATGTATTGTTTTCTCTCACCCATGGAGAGAAGATGTCGATGCTAGGGTGCCATGCGAGGATACACGGGGGTAAAAGTGTGTCGTTGACCTTCTTCATCGCGGGGGTAGACTCCCAACCGTGCTCGAAGGCTCCGGCGCGGGGGATGAGCAGCTTAATGTCCCGCTCAGTGGACCTTTGCATATTCTGACGAAGTTCCGAGTCGATCACCAGAGGTGAGCTTGGCATCGACAGGTCCGGCTCGCGCAGATAATCTGGTGGGAAAAAGGCGTATCCGGCAAAGTGCTCATCAGCACCTTCACCGGTCAAAACCACTTTGACGCCGTTCTCGCTTGGAAGCGACGACAAGGTGAATTTCCCAACGCAGTTCAGATCAAAGTGATGATGTTCGCAATGATATGCGCAATCGGCAAAGTTCTCCGCCAATATGCTCTCGTTGACTTGCGTCTTCTGTATCTGAACTCCAAGATGTTGTGCCGTTCTCTCTGCAATATCTAGACACCTTGAGTCAGTGGTGCATGGGTTTTAAGGTGGCCTAGGTACATACCGGACTCGTCAAAGCCTGACTCTTTGGGGAATTGAATAGTGAAGCAGCTGATTCGACTGGTTGCATCCTTGTTGCCGATTTTGATACCCTCATCTCTCACAAGGTGAGTGACGATTCCCGCGACTAGGGATGAATCAATACCGCCTGAGAGGTAAATACCAATCGGCACGTCAGCGCGAAGTCTAAGACGGATAGCTTCTGTAAGCCTCTCACGGAGCCCAAGGACCATCTCATCCACGCTTCTTGTCTCGCCTTCGGTCTGTCGACATGTTAGCAGTAGTAGCTCAAGATGTCACCGATTAAAGTTACCTTGTCTTTGTAGTCGGCATCCCAGTATTGATGTATTTGCATCTCGCCGTCTTTCGAAATCTCCATCCAGTGTCCTGGTGGCACCTTCTTCACACCTTTGAATAATGACCGGCCATCTTGCATCCATCCGCCATCGACAATGGCACCTACATCCCATTGAGGTTTCCAGCCCAAGGGCAGGAATGCCTTTGCCTCAGGTGCAACGATCAACTTGTCTGTACTATCTTCTTGGCGGACAATCGTCCATAGCAGAGGCTTGATACCGAACCTATCACGGCCCAAGATAACCTTCCCGGCTGCCTCGTCGTACAGCACAAACGCGAATTCGCCGCGTAGGTGCTCAAGGAACTGAGGAGCGCCGTAGGCCTTGTACAGTGCCAGGATCACTTCACTATCGCTGTGACCTCTAAACTTGTAGCCCCGCTGCTTGCACTCCTCTCGTAAACGATCGTGATTGTAGATCTCCCCATTGACGATGGCATGGATTGTTTCATCGTCGCTGTGGATGGGCTGGTTACCGTCGGGCGTCAAGTCATTGATGGCCAATCGGCAATGACCCAGGCCTGACGCATGTCAGTTATCATGACAGGTTGTTAAACATTCACACGTCTGCACTGACCGATGAACCCATCCTGACTGACCCAGACCCCTTGCGCATCTGGCCCTCGGTGAGAGATCGCCTCGAGGCTCTTGCTGAGCTGCTCCCTGAGATCCTG